GACAATTTACATTTTGGGTATAGTTAAAACCGTGAGTGGCGTGAGTGTATGTGAAAAATCGTGATCGTGAGTGAACGTGAAAAGTTTTACAGACACCGTGAGTGAGTGTGATTCACGATTGAATTTTCCCCGTGAGTGTGAGTGAGCGTGAAAATTTTTGTCGTAAACGTGAGTGAGCGTGAATGAAAATTGTCCAATTTACCGACACTAGTTTATGCTAAGGCTCTGCTATTCATTTTCGTACACTGTAAGGGAATACAAGAATCAAAAGATACTATGTATTGGCTATGCATACTTGCATTGGCATCAGATAATAGGAATATTTATTGCATAATATTAATCAGTGATTAAAATTACTAATATTTAATATTGAATTTTTAAAAATGTGGTTTATATTGAAATATAACTAAAATTATTTTATTGTTATATAAAAGCAAAACTAAATATATATTTGTAATAAATATCATAAGAAACGAGAATTTGAAATAAATATCTGTCAATAAATTGATGGTAAAAAAACATTTTCTAAGTGAGCGTGAATGAAAATTGTCCAATTTACCGACACTAATGTACATAACGTAATATAAAAATCATAATTTAATTAGTGCATTTAGAATTGAACCAAAGTGCTTTGCAAATAGTGTTGCCAACTTATCCAATAGTGGATATTTTCTCTAAAACTTGTCAAAACTAGTAGACAAATAGTAGATATTAATACATTATTTTCGTTTTATTTTTTGGTCAGTTTAAAATTTCTTAACTAAAATATAATATTAGTTTACTAAATTATATCAACGTCAATTAATATTTTAAGTTTATTTGTATATTTAGTAATTCTTATAACAAGTTATAACTTGTTGTAATCTGCAAGACCAAATTTGGACTAGTATAAATTTGTAATTTCTATTATTAACATCTAATAAAATTTTGATAAACAAAATTAATTAATATTTTCATACATTTCATTAATTATATTGATTTCACTACATTTCACGTTAAAATAGTTATACTGTTTGCAAGTATTGCAATATTGTTGCCTATTTTTGTAAAACATTCCTAAGAATTCATTATTTAATTCAATATTTTTGATATTAAAATCCGGATTTAATTGAAATTATATTTTTAGTTTACAAACAATAATTAATATTAATATATGAGAGATATTATGAAATATTCCTGATATACCTTTGGGTTAATAAATCACAAATAAGTCTTATAATGTTGTGATCAGTAAAAGTAATTAAATCTAATGAAATAACAGCAATGTGTGCAAGGTTGATTGTTATAGTAAATGTAGCATCATCATGTACCATGTTCAAATAGAAAAAACAAAACGTTAAAAACAAATTCCTATTAATATTGAAATCTCTGAAAACATAAAGTTATCAAAAACTCTGATTTAAACGTAATTTATTGACAAAACAATGAAAACAATATTTTGGGCCAAAAGTAGTGTTTTATTTGAAAAGTTGTCACAAAATTGAGTCCAAAAATAAGGTTTAAATTGCAGTGAATGTGAATGTCTTGAGCCATGTCTTCATCGATGTCTTCGCCGGCCATTAACGCAGACATCAGTGAAATGCTGTTAGAGTTGGGAAAGCATGAGATGAATGTCAACCAAAACCGATTCAAGTATCAGAAATGTGAATGTCTTGAGCCATGTCTTCATCGATGTCTTCGCCGGCCATTAACGCAGACATCAGTGAAATGCTGTTAGAGTTGGGAAAGCATGAGATGAATGTCAACCAAAACAGATTCAAGTATCAGATGTACCGAAAGGCGGCGAAGAGTGTTGTCGATCACCCGAAACGCATCCAATCTGTCGCTGAGGCCAAGGGGTTGGCCGGAGTCGGCGCTAAGATCGCCCTCAAGATCATGGACTTCGTGGCCAACGGTTCCAACAGACAGTTGGATAGAGTGAGACAATCGGACACAAATCAGTCCATCAATGAATTGCTTCGTGTGTCGGGAATCGGACCCAAACTGGCGGCCAAACTGATGGCCGACGGCATCGACACTATCGACAGGTTGAGGACAATCGCCGACACTCTGACCGATCACCAGAAGATTGGTCTCAAATATGTGGACGAATTCGAGCGAAAGATACCGCGCGAAGAGATCCAGAAGATTGAGACACTATTGACGGCCAAAATGAATGAATTCAATAAAAATCTTTTGCTAACCATTTGTGGCTCTTATAGACGAGAGGCGCGAGAGAGCGGTGACATCGATGTCCTCATCACTCACCGCAACGTAACGTCGGATCAAATGAAATTCAAGACAAACACTTACCTGAAAGACAGCGTCCGGTCTCTGCAAAAGTGTGGTCTCATAACCGATAGGCTATCGTTAGGCGACACGAAGTTTATGGGTGTCTGTCGGCTGTCGAAAGAGTGTCCGCACCGGAGGATTGACATACGATTCCTACCTTTGGATCAATACTTTTGCGGCATTTTATACTTCACTGGAAATGACTTTTTCAATCAACAGATGAGAAAACATGCGAACGAAATGGGATTTACTTTAAATGAGTATTCGTTGAGACGATTGGGATTGACATCAGTTCCCGGGGAACCGATTGCTATCACCTCTGAAAAGGAGATCTTTGAATACATTGACTTTCCATATAAAGAGCCCAGAGATAGGAATTTCTAGTTTTTTTACGTAAAAATGTGTGTTTTTTAAGTGAAATAATTTTCTCATAAAAATTTATCTCATTTTTGTCGCTTTGAAAGTCTTTTAACGCTTAAATTCAAAGTTGACATCAATTTTCAATAGTTGTTTGACTTTTAAGTGAAATTTATTGACTTTTAAATTGTTTATTAATTTATTTGTTAAACAAAATATTTTGTTTTGCTATTTATTATATAATTAATTCATAGATTGTTTGTTATTTATATGCATTTTGTGGTCAAATGATTGTCGATCGGAAAGTTTGTAATTGAAATTCTTGTGAGACTCGCACTGATGTCCTTGTGATCAGAATTTAAGCTAATTCTTCGTCATAATGACGTCCTAACCATTGATAACGTATTCATCGAATTAAATGTCTCTAAAGACCGGTTTCTCTTAACCACAAGATCTAAAACATATTAACAAATCTTTGGCTAACAATAGCCCGAAGCGATACTTTCAATAAGGGATCACACATTTTGCCACAAATGCAATCATAAGTCAGTTATCCTTTTGTAGAGTTTATAAAATCAATTACTTTTTATTAAGTTATAAAAGTTTTCATTTTAATTAATTTTCTATTTGTGTAATAAAGGCTTTAATTTAATAGAAAACCAATTTTTTGTATTTTTGCGATCATTTCATTCGTGTAACTAATTTAATAATTAAATCAATTGAAGTTTACTTTGATTCTAATGGGAGTAAAATCATTGACTAATAATTTGCTCATAAATTACAAATACAATCAGTTTTACGCTTATTTTGTGTATTATTGCTATTATTCTTATTACTATTGAAGATGTAAATGAAATTTAAATAAAATAATAGAGACAACAAAAACATGGAAATGAAGAAAGACGTGAAACGAAGAACTGATTGGTCAGTGAGTGTCTCAGAAAAGGCCAAATCAACCGTAAATCCGATCCGAAGTGTTGTCGAGACACTAAAGCTGGAGCCAAACCCCGAAAAGCAATTAATACCGCTGTCTATTGGTATGAGATTCTCATGTAATGTTTGAAATGTATCGAAAATATGTGTTTTTTGTGTTACTCTTTCAGGCGATCCGACAATCTTTGGAAACCTGAAGCCATGCGAAGAGATAACGAATGCCATAATAGAGAGCACGAAGTCGTATAAGAATAACGGGTATTTCGCGGCCGCCGGCTGTGAAGAGGCGCGACAAGCGGTCGCCGAATACAGTTCTGTGAGCGGAGCGCCCGTCGAGGCCAAGGTATGTGTTGTTTTGCCGTTTGCTTAATCCAGTGGTGACCGTAAGAATCGCACCATTTCTTAGATTTATTGCATAAATTGCATCCGAAGGTCGCGTTTGTGCCGCACTTGTACTGAATCCAAGGCTAAATCAGCAACTTTTCCACTTATTTCTACCTTATTTTTTGCTTTAAATTTTACTTTTTATTTATAAAAAGATTATTATTTAATAAATACCTGAATTACAAATAAACATGTAATTATAATATATTTTTAAACTCAATTTTGTCAGACAATTACATAATTTTTTTAAAACTAACGATAGCTTCTGAATGAGCGCTTAATTTCGTTATAAGAATACCAAATTAAAAATGTTATTTAATATGTCTTTTCAATAAGATTTTTAAACAAAAAATGCATATTATTTAAGATTTATAATATTAAAAATATGGTATTCGTTGGTAACAACCAATCATTTTCCTGAAGCAAATCAATCGCACGAACGTGTCTTGAATTTTATATTAATTTTGTAACAAAAAATCATTAATTCTGATCATTATATGTGATAAACATTTAACTTGATTTCATTTCATAGGATGTGATACTAACGAGTGGCTGTTCGCACGCTCTGGACCTATGTATGACCGTATTGGCCAATCCCGGGTGCAATATATTGGTCCCGAGACCCGGTTTCTCTCTGTACGAGACTCTGTCCGCTCTGATTGACGTCCAGATAAGACATTACGATCTGATGCCCGAAAGGAATTGGGAAATCAATTTACATGACTTGGAGAGTAAGATTGACGGCAACACAGCGGCCATTATATACAACAATCCGTCCAATCCGTGCGGTTCCGTATTCACGAAGCAACACATCCTTGATTTCCTAGCCATCGCTGAGAGACATTTTGTGCCTATAATTGCCGATGAGATCTACGAAGACCTGGTCTTTCCGGGCAATCATTTTTATCCGATTGCGTCGCTGACCACTGAAATACCGGTGCTTTCGTGCGGCGGCACCACTAAAAAGTTTGTCANGAATCGTATGTCAATCCTCCGGTGCGGACACTCTTTCGACAGCCGACAGACACCCATAAACTTCGTGTCGCCTAACGATAGCCTATCGGTTATGAGACCACACTTTTGCAGAGACCGGACGCTGTCTTTCAGGTAAGTGTTTGTCTTGAATTTCATTTGATCCGACGTTACGTTGCGGTGAGTGATGAGGACATCGATGTCACCGCTCTCTCGCGCCTCTCGTCTATAAGAGCCACAAATGGTTAGCAAAAGATTTTTATTGAATTCATTCATTTTGGCCGTCAATAGTGTCTCAATCTTCTGGATCTCTTCGCGCGGTATCTTTCGCTCGAATTCGTCCACATATTTGAGACCAATCTTCTGGTGATCGGTCAGAGTGTCGGCGATTGTCCTCAACCTGTCGATAGTGTCGATGCCGTCGGCCATCAGTTTGGCCGCCAGTTTGGGTCCGATTCCCGACACACGAAGCAATTCATTGATGGACTGATTTGTGTCCGATTGTCTCACTCTATCCAACTGTCTGTTGGAACCGTTGGCCACGAAGTCCATGATCTTGAGGGCGATCTTAGCGCCGACTCCGGCCAACCCCTTGGCCTCAGCGACAGATTGGATGCGTTTCGGGTGATCGACAACACTCTTCGCCGCCTTTCGGTACATCTGATACTTGAATCTGTTTTGGTTGACATTCATCTCATGCTTTCCCAACTCTAACAGCATTTCACTGATGTCTGCGTTAATGGCCGGCGAAGACATCGATGAAGACATGGCTCAAGACATTCACATTTCACTACAATTTAAACCCTATTTTTGGTCTCAATTTTGTGACAACTTTTCAAATAAAACACTACTTTTGGCCCAAAATATTGTTTTCATTGTTTTGTCAATAAATTACGTTTAAATCAGAGTTTTTGATAACTTTATGTTTTCATAGTTTTCAATATTCATAGGAATATCTTATTCCTAATCCTATATCCATATTCAGAATATATGTTTTTAACGTTTTGTTTTTTCTATTTGATACATGATAATGAACATGATGATGATGCTTCATTTATTATGACAACCAACCTTGCACACATTGCAGTTATTTCATTAGATTTAACTATTTTCAATGATCACAACATTATAAGAATCACAATAGGAATATTTCATAATATATATCATATATTAATATTAATTATTGTTTGTAAACTAAAAATATAATTTCAATTAAATTCGGATCTTAATACCAAAAATATTGAATTAAATAATGAATTTTTAGTTTGTTGTACAAAAATAGGCAATAATATTGCAATACTTGCAAACAGTATCACTATTTTTATCATGAAATGTAGTCAATATAATTAGTGAAATGAATGAAAATATATATAATTAATTTCAAATATTAATTAATTTCGTTTATAAAAATTTTATTAAACGTTAATAATAGAAATTGCAAATCTATACTGGCAGGTTACGATAAGTTTTAACTTGTTTTAAGACTTGCTAAATATACAAATAAACTTACCAATAATTGGTTAAAATTTTAATTGACGTTGATATAATTTAGTACAATAATATTATATATTAGTTAGGAAATTTTAAAATGATTAAAAAATAATACGAAAATAATGTATCTACTATTTGACCACTAGTTTTGACAAGTTTTAGAGAAAATATCCACTATCGGACAAGTTGGTAACACTATTGGCAAAGCACTTTGGTTCAATTCTAAATGCACTAATTAAATTACGATTGTTATAATATATTATGTTATTGTTATATTATGGACATATTAGCAGAATTTAAAGCTTAACTAATTTAAACAGTTATAACTTATAAACAAAAAAATATGTTTACCTTAATTGAAAGCTTTCGTGAAATTATGACTTTAAATATATAATGAAATAATAATGAAAGACGATATGAAGATCAGATGTGAACGTGTGTTAGATGTGAATGAAATACAAATGATAGCGAAATAGTTAACAACAATTGATATATCTTTTTGTCTAAAGCTTATAGAAGGCGGTTAGGAGTAATTAATTAATACCTGATGATTTACCTAACAATGTTGTCATTACGTGATTCAGTAGTTTTTCAATTGTTTATTAATTTTTTTTAAGAAACATAAAAATATTTTGATCACAAGTGAAATTTTATTTTAGCGAAGCTCTATATCGTTTCAACTTATCGATGGGAATTATTTTTTAAACATATCATTCAATGAGTTTATTATATTTTAAATTATGCAAAGCTAACACTTTATTTATATCGCTAATTGTGAGGTAAACTATCTTATGTTTATATAAAATGAAATAATAATCAAGGTTCTATTATTTGTAATATAATGAGTTATTAAACAGTTGTCATAATACTATAAAAATGCAATATGGTGTAATAATGCCCTGAAACTTGAAAACCTACCATGATAATGCATAAATATATAAACAAAATTAAAATTCCTCAGACATTATTATCCGATATTAATTGATATAAAATGTTCAATTGGTCAAATGTACAGTATAAAATTATTATACCTTACAATTTGTAAGTAAGTTAACCAAACAGTTTAATTAACTTAACAATTAAGTTGTTTTGTTGTTTTATGTGTCCAAATAAAATCAATACTCTGATAATAAAAATACAATGAATTTCTTGAAATGCAATTATTTATTTTGTTAGCTTTTAATAGAAAATCTTGTGCTGTATTTTTTAATTGTTAATAACTAATCATAAACTCAAAAATATTAGTTTTAATTTAATTTAAGTCAAAAATAGAGTATTAATTTTAGCGTAGCTAGATCAAATAATATGATTTGTGATTTTTCATTTTATGCTCCGTTTCTACATTAATCAATATCATTGAATTGATTCAACAAATAAATGTAAAATTGAAAATTAAGGGTTATTTGAATGCAATGCTATAAAAGATTAAACTATTAATTAGCCAATATTTACATCAATAGATAATTAAACGATTTAATACAATCATTAAAATAATAACAACAAGGTATTTAAAACAGTGAATGTCATTAATTGATCTGATCTACCACTACTTGATTGATTGATTATGGTCAAATATTTAGGATAGAGATGAGTCTACATAAGACTTATGCTATGTCATAAGTGGTGTTAATCGTGTCAATGTTAACGTGTGATTCACATTCACTCACCTCACGGCCCGTGAGTGTGAAAGAATCGTGAGTCACGTGATTGTGATGTGAGTGAAGAATATACAGAAAATTGTGTGAATGAACATTTGACACATTAGGAACACTAGTCTACATTACATAATTGTAGCAGGCACATTCATTGAAATCAATTGAATCTTAAATATAAGATGTTTACACAAATCCTAATAATATTCACAATAAAACTTTAATCTATAGACAATTGTGAGTCAATTCAAATGTTCATACGATATGAAAATTATTTAATTAAAATATACTGCAATTATTTAACATACAACTCGGTGTAAAACTATTTGCATAAGATTTCACACCATTTCCTATACAATTATACAACATCTTGAAAATCAATTTTTAATATTTACATCAAATATATTGGTTGACATCAATGTGTTTTGGTTTTGTTGAACATTACTATTACAACATTTCTCAAACATAGATCATTCACAACTGAATCCGAGATATTAGTTAAATAATGCATTTAAAAATGTTTACATTAACTAATTTTTGTAATTATTTATGTGTTATGTCACATTTTTGTAAAATATTGCAAAGAGTTAATTTAAACATTGGTCTCTAATTTAAAATGCATCACTTGACTAAACAAACAATATTTTAAATAATTAACTAAATATTAATGATTTACAGATCGTTGCAATAAATTCTCGAGTGATTTTCAATTAAATTATAATGAATTCATTACATTAATGCTAAAACACAGTGTAATTAATAATAAATATTTTATTTAAATATTAAATTAAATATTTATTTTAATAAATCGTGATTCTCTGCCAAATCTTAAGATGTCTTTGAATATACAAAATTCACACATCATTTGGTGTTAAATATTTCACACAATTGTCAATATATCTAAATATTCTGTACATTAAATAATAAATCAATTGGATTTCAATACTAAAGTTAACGTTATATTATACAGTATAACTTATCTATTATATAATATAACTGTATCCCTAACTAATTTATACGAAAAAACTTTTGACAACTTTGATAATCATTGTACTCGTAGTAATTTAACTAATTATATATCAAATGTACAAATGTACTAAATGCCTATGCTAATATTATAATTACTTCTATTAAATATAAATTATATAATGAAAAGTAAAAGTTTTTTATGTGAATAATAATAAGTTATTATTAATAACCAATAATATATTGAAGTGTTGGTCATATATGGGTCAACACTTATACATACATTTGAATGCAAAGTATTGTCAGAAAATATTTCTAAAAGTAAAAATAAAAGCATAAAAGCTTTGAATCTAAGCGAGACATGCGCTCAAACCATAGCATTGGCTCCACATATGAGGCAAAGCGGGTCTCAACGCACGGAAAGGCCGCCTGACGTCAGACGCGCCGTACGATCGCATTGTAGGGCCAGTAATGGCGTGAATGGCATACGTTTGCTGTGCTTTAGGTATGCTTTTGATGGCACACATCCGACATTGCAGTTAAGGCCAACCCATACAACACATACACCCATAACATCCATATATTCATTCATTGCATATATTGTATAACAATAGACACATATTATAACAATTGTCGGCCAAATTGCTCTCTAAATTGCCATTAATTGTGACCACAATTAACACTCAAATCCCATTGAAAGCAATGTTCACTTCAAACTCGTATGCATTTACTCTCACTCTTTGGTCCATTAGTATAGCGTTTGGTAAGTGTTTTGTCACTCATTATAACTCCCATACAATAATTATCATCTCATTTACTAATCGTATCATTATTTTTAATTTTAATGCAATTAATTAGTAAATTGTGTATTTAGTTGTTATGCAAATGCATATGTATTGTCTCACTATTGCTTTATTTGCATTGATTTATGAATGTATTCACAATTATATGTGAATTAGTTTTTATAAGAAATTTGTTTTAAAAATTAATGAGGAAATCGTCGAAAGATTAGCTTTTTTGTGTCAAAGCTTTAAGTGTTTGATGAGATTTATGGCTATTTTTAGCCATTTATTGACTAATTCTCCATAATATGTGTTCATTTAATTGAATATTATTTTATTTTTAATGCATATAATGTATGGTTTAATACAAAGTGAAAAAAATCAATAAAATTAACATTTGATTAAAATGTATGGCAATAATGAATAAATACAACATTGCATTGAATTCTATGCATAAAAGCCATAGTAAACACTCCTTAATCAAACCCAAACTTACATTACAAACGAGTGCTTATTATTGAAAATATTACTGAATTTATAGTCAATTAATAAATTTTATTCAATTATTGAATGAATGCAAAAACTGGTATAATTGCATACAATTGGCGTTATTTTGATGTTTTCTTTCTTTCAAATCATTGCAAAATATAAAACCTAAAGATCTAAGAAATGATACATTAATTTATGAAATTATTTAATATTCAGATCATGTTTTACATTAAATATTTTGCATTTTTGTTATTTTAAATCATTTTGCAATACATTTTGATTGCAAAATTAATTACATTTTCAGTACATTTTATCTCCCATTCAAAGGCATATCTAAAGGATATATAAAATCTAAATTAAATTATTGAACAAAACGTCTATTAATTGAGGAAATATTTGCTATTTTACTCGACATTTATTTTAATTGAATTATTTCTTATTAAGAATATTATTATCGATATTAGAGCCCTTCATTTTATTCTCATATGAATTAATTTATTATGTGTTTTTAAAAAAATATTTTACCATGAATTATATTATTTAACTTTTAGATTATATGTTCATTTATTTGTTATTCTTATAAACCGACAAAATAGAAAAATTTAACATTTGTTTGAAAATAATTTGTTAAATAAAGTTAAAAATTATCGAAATAAATATTGAATGTGTTCATTAGAACCGACAAAACAATGGCTATATTTATACGATATATGATATTAAAAGGTGTTTATATGTTGTATCGATAGCTTATTCGCTGAGTTGTTGGGACTGTAATTCATTGATTAACAACGGATGTAACGACCCGTTCAAAGAGGACGACTTCGCGATGGCTGACTGCACCCAAAAGGTGTTGCCCAATTTCCCGGACCAACCTGGTAACATTTGCCGCAAAATTGTCCAAAAAGGTTTGCATAATTGACTCAACAAATTATAGCCATTTATTAACAATTAAATTGATTGTATGTTTGCTTTTGCAGTGAACGACGAGTACCGGACGATCCGCGGGTGCGGCTATTTGGACGACACGGGCAAAGGGATCAAACCCAACGAACCCGTGGCCAATGACTGTGTGAAAAGAGCGGGTACTTTCTCGGTGTTAGTCCAGTACTGTTCCTGTAATGGTAAAGACGGCTGCAATCACTCAAATCATCTCATTGTCAGCTCTATTACTCTAATAACTCCTATTTTAATCTCAATTTTCTATTATTTCTGATGTGATTGTCGTCCAAACCATTAGATTATCTCTTGATTTGGTTTTTCTAGATTTGCATTCCATTTGTTTATTAATTGTTCATTACTTTAGTATTAATTTCGTATCACTTTTGACGTATGATTTCATTAATTTCATTATTATTTCACTGATTATATACTCGATATAATTCCCAACCAAATGATGTCATTATGTGTTAAAATACCCAACAATTTGATGGTATAATAAGAGCACATAATGTGATAATTCGTAGGAAATATAACTTATTGACTGCTCACTTATTAATTGCTAATTTTGTTTATTTTTTAATTATTTTAATATTTTTGTTGTTTAAGTTTTTATGTTTTTTAAGTTTATTTTTTAGTGTAAATATTTAATTAATTATTTAATTATCATTTTAATTTTTGGTCACAATATATAAATTATAGTGTTTTGATAGACTTCTAGTCCGATGTGTCTCTTAATTAAAGTACGTTTTGTGACAAAACTTCCAAATAATATGATATTTAGATTACATTTAAATGCAAACAAAATCATTGAATATATATTTTAGATCTAATGTTAAGTTATTTACACAAATATTCCATCGATTCAAATATCCTATGATTTTATATAACATTTTATCATAAAATTCACTTAAAATATAATTTTAGAGAATTTTATTTAAAAAATGAGTCAAATATTTTGTGAGGAATTAGAAAATAACTTAACAAATATCAGATCAGTCTCTCTCTCTCTCTCTCTCTCTCCTCTCTCTCTCTCTCTCCCTCTCT